GAATTATCGCCCAGCCCTACTCTGAACACACATTTACCCCATTTGTTCCTCAGTAACTTGAAATACAGCAGTTAAGGCAACATGAAAGGGACATTTTATGCATTTAAATATGCTGTAGATAGAGCTGCATAGAGCTGGAGGACCAACTCTGCCATATTTAAAAATAAATACAGAAATAAATAAATAAATGCTCAATAAATGAATAAGCATACAATTAATTGCCACAAAAAATACAATCAACAAATAAATGTAAGTAGAAATTATATTATAAGGGCAGGCAGAAACAAATAGCAGCAAAGAAATAACTAGGGTAAAAAAATACAAAGGAAGAATAAAACAGACAAAAATATTATAACATGCACATAAATAAATACTTAAAAATATAATTAAAAAATAAAGTTGAAGATAATAAATGACAAAAAAATAAATAAGGTAAATATTACGAAGGCAAATAAATAAAAAAGCTAATTAAAAGAGTTATACACATTTATGACTCGCTGTGTAATTTAATTTCTACTTACATTTATTTGTTGTTTGTATTTTTGGTGGCAATTAATTGTATGCTTATTTATTTATTGAGCATTTATTTATTTATGTATTTATTTTTAAATATGGCAGAGTTGGTCCTCCATACTGCTGCATCAACAAATCAACAAAAAGGCAGGTACTGATATGTTACATCAAAATCTCCACAAATCTGAAAAGAAGCAACATAAAAATAAATTCACCCTTACTAAAAATCTTGCTTAGCTTGTCCAACAGAGGTTTCCTTTGTCTACACCCCCTCAATTCCCCCAAGATTCTAAATTTTTAGAACATCATATTGGATATATTTTCAATTGGTCTATTGATCTTGATCAGGTGTTTATCACAATGTATATTTCTATTGTTTCATTGCCCAGCCCTAGTCCTAACACATAGCTAGCTGGGTGTGTATTCAGAGAAAAATGCATGACAGTCGAAAAGATATTTCACTAAATATTAAGTGACATACATGCATACAAATGCACAATGTAGGGTTATCTCAACCGATACATTGAAAAATTATGACTTCTTTCTTTGCCTCACTCAGCTACAAGTGGGTCCCAAATGAAAAGTGTTTGGAAATGATAAAAATTAGTCACTTTGAGAGGGTTTTTTAATAAAAATGTGTATGGTAAAATATATTTTAATCCAAAAAATAAATAAATGAGCAAATATACAAATATGTATAGATGTATTACCATAAACTGCCACTCTGATTCGGTCCTGATGGACAGTATTTCCAGCCACAGCCTGTACAGTAACGGTGTGACTTCCTTCCTTGGAGAAGGTAAAGGACATTGCTGCATCAAGGGTCACAAATGGCTGCAAAACAAAGAGACCATATACGTAATTCTCTCATGTTTCTCAGGTGCAATGCTCTGGAGATGGATAAATAGGGCTTACCTCTGTCTTATTATCAAACCACCAGAAATACGTGACTGTTCCCACACTACTGGGGCGAAGTGTTGCTGTGAAATTCACTGCTTTGTTCTTGATGACCACCAAAGGAGCTGAAAGCTGCACCTGCTCGAGCTGACCTTTAAAGAGAATACACATAAAGTGTGAAGTCACACCTTTTATTAAAAAGGTCTACATTTAATGCCTCCCTGGTGCTTTTAAACTTCAACAGATGAATTGTTTGTAATATTTACCACAGCAGAGACCAAGTGGAACACGCTGAACACTGGAAGACAGTACTAAAGCTATTTGTGTTCCATAAGTGGTTTGACTTCTGCAGTGTGCTAAGAGGCTTTATTTCCCAACCATAAAATGTTCAACACTGAGTACAACAAAAGGGAGACTTGTTTTGAATTGAGTGATTGGGATCTTCTATGGTAGTATGGACATAAATACAATCGTCCATTTTTCTTCCACACAGGATGCTAGTTTATTGTATTTAATAAAGATCTATTTACAGCTATGATTAACAACATTGACAAATATAATACAGTGAAAAGTATTTGACCTCTTATAAATTATTTTTAAGACTTTATTGCTGAAGGTCAGTGGTTTAAATAATCCAAAATATATTAATATACATGTATATATTTCATAAGATTTTCAGAGTACTAAAGAATAACCCAAGTACAGTTGAACCTAAAGCTTGGAACTCATGCCCCATTGTTCTGCTTTTACATATCCTTGTTTTATTATTTAGTGCAAGTCTATCCGATTTTTAGCAGCAAAGCTATACCAGATCATCATTTTACCAACAACATGCTATGTTTGTTTTGAAATGCAGAGACGGACATTTTTAAATACTTACAAATTTGTCTCACAGTCCATAGAAAATATGTTGGTATGTTGTTCTGGGTTCTTATGTGATCTCCCAGATGATTGGTTAATGTGTGTGAATATTTTACATAGACAGACCCCTTTCAGGAAAGCTTACCACCCATTCCACACTGACAAATTTCAATGAATTTATTACTAATGTGTTATCAAATTTATATCAACTAGTGGTTGATACTTTATGTTTTAGCTTACTTTATTGGGTTACACAAGTCCTATTTAAATCATTTGCTGACATTAAAAGTCTGCCAATAATCCGTCATGGGTGTGATTAACTTTGCTTTCCAAAAATGTGAATTACTTTAGAGAATTCCAGATTAAATTCTTTTTTTAAATGTCCCTTTAATAAATAAAAATATAGTGTAAAGGTCTTATCTCTTTTCTCGGGTTACCTCATAAAACTGCATACATCCAAATGCCAGCTCACTGAACAACTTTGGATCATTTCAAATGCTTTTTTTGTTTTTTACACATTAGCTTTTACAAACCAACTTTAGACTTACAGGATACATGGAGGTAAAGGAGGACCTTATCAAAGCCAAGATTGTTGACTGCTGTTGCTGAAACTTGATAGATTCCAACTTTATTGTAGATGTGTTTGACCCCATCATCAATGGAACTGATGTTAACGTAAGATATGGCAGTTCCATCACCGAAGTCCACAGTTATACTCGTCATGGAGCCAAGACCCTTCAAAAAAATAAAAATATGCTTTCATTCATTCTCGACCATTCCTTTATGCAGTCACTGATTCATTGCACGAGCACTTTCTATAAAAGCTACAAAAATAAGGTCATGTCGTAAATCACGTCGATGCATATTTATTTGATACCTCAGAGCTATAGCCTGTGTGACAGCATCTTTGATTTACACTACATTGAATAAATACTTGATGCATGTGAGTAATACCACTTTAGGTGAATACTGACTTGGTGGTAAAAGCAAACTCCAAAGGCAGTCTAGAAACATTTTCCCTAAAAGACTACAGTAAACAGTTAATTTTAGGTTTTACAGTAGGTGTTTACAATCAGAGATGTTTGCATATAGACACTGAGGTGAAAAGTGTTATAGCGTTAGTGTTTCTAGTCTGTCATAGTACCTGGGTGACATTTCAGCTTAAGATGATAAACCCTGGTAGTTTCTTAGAATTCCATAAAACAGGTTAACAAATGCTGTGTAAATGTGAGGCAGTAGAAAAGGGGGAAAGAAAGAAATCTTTAAACTGTGGACTGAGTTCTATTTTGGTGCCTCTAGTAAAATGAAGAATCACCTTTTACTTTGAATACAAAAATCAAACATTTTCAATAAGGTAAGAGACTAATATTTGCCAATTTTACTTTGATAAATAGGTTCAGCTAATTCAGATAATATTGAAGGCATATGAGAAAAACAATTTAATTTCTAGACCTGTACAGTCTAGCTTAATGGGATGTATGTTTGGGGCACTGGTTTGCCGAAACATTATCCTCTCATCCATTTTTTTCCAAAGTTGGGGCTGATAATGAAGCATATTTATCAGTTTAAAGATATGGAAACATCACTTATAAATAGACAAAACCAAATACACTGGTTTTGATGTTGAGTAATCAGTTTTTACCTAAGGTAATTGCTTGTAATCTAACCAACCAATACTTGGGTCATGAGTCCATTCTGGTACTATGTGGTACTATCTACTTATTTTGGGAACCTTAGCTGTAATCCAGTCCTCTTATTTGTGGGCTCTAAAAATTATTCTTTTTTTTTTTTCTCGGTGATGGTCATGTAATTAAATTTTTTTTTTTATTGCTCCATTAATGTTAATTGGCTTTCTTGGACCTGTGGAGCTCTGTCACTCCTCAAGAGTGATAATTGTCAAGTTGGCTGCTTTTTTAATTAAAGTTCCACTTTCCCTTGATCTATTTTGATGGCATTGTTTTAGAAAGTTGGTTCTCTACCCTTTCAATTTTTATAATGAATTGAACAATAATCCATGAAAGATTTTCTCTCTTTTAAAAACAGGTAGTTATTTGCATTCTATTTTAAGTTGAGGTAATGTAGTAAAGAAAATGTTAAAATTCCCCTCTACTTGTTCACTACTTTGCACTGGTCTGTCATATAAACTCCCAATACAATACAATAATATACATGCAATCAAAGGTTCTGATTTAACAAAAATCAGGAATAGTTGAGGAATTAATTCGCCTGAAAGGCACTCCAAGTGAAGTCATGCCCCTTTTTTGATATAACTGTTTTTCTTACACCTTATTATTCTGCAGTCGACAGGTATATTTGCAAGGGAAAATAAAAGGTATCATTATATAAAATGCATTGTGTTTATTGTAATCGCTCATGTTGCACTGTTTAACTCATGTTTTCTCTTTTCAATTAATAACATGTCTTGACTATCAATGTATGAATATTTTCCTGAGGCATGAGTGGAGCGGTTCTCTGCTCACCATCAAACACTCCCTTCTCTTCGCAGCGCCTCTTCTGTCTAGCATCTCTCAGCCTCCTATCAAGTGTTACATTTAGGAATGTCTTTTCTTTTTTTTCATATAAAATTGGCACAGTGAATAAGTCAGCAGCGAATTGCTTACTGCAGGTCTTAAAACAAAAATCACAGTGTGTGAATCATTTAAATACACTCCCCCCCACCCGTGATATGTAATGAGAGCACAGTGGGAAATTATACCCGCCTCTGGCCAAAAATAATGCAACTAGACCAGACTTGAAAATCCCCTTTCATTAAATAATGTATCACTAAATATTTCTGCTAGTTACTTGAGATCTAAGTTTCTTAACAGCAAAGAAGAAGAAAAAAAAAAATCAATACTATTTCAGTTGGCATCACTGGTACTGTTATTAGCTACTTTGAATATTTGATCTTACCCAGGAAATCTTGTTGCATGAATGAAAGTCTTAGATATTTATTCAGAATCCTATCTTCTTCTACAGGGCAGCCTCTGGAATAGCTTTATGAGACACAAACTACAATAATTGTTGCTTTTAATGTTCAAACATTTATTCCAAATTACTATCAGAAGTATGCAATGTTAAGCGTAAAATATGGAAAGGGATTATTTTGTAACCGAGGGGCCTCTGTTAACCTGTAATCTGAAATGAATAGATTAAGTATTTTGTGACATTTTGATCTACAGTATATAATGATAGAACTATTTTATTCACATAGTCAGTAATATAACATATTGCCTGTCTAATGTTCCTTATGTTTCACAATGTAAGTTTACCTTCTGAATAATCATCTGTTCTGAAATAACACTTTCTGTTCTTTCATTATAGCCACTGCCTGTAAGTGTGCAGTGCTTTATATTTTATAAAATGAAGAAATCATCACCTCTTCCAGAAAGACCAAGAAGGTGACGTTCCTGCCCAGTGTTGCAACAAATGTCCCCTCGCTGGTAAAGAGCTGGAGACCCCTGGGAGCCCGGCTGGGACACTTTTGTTGCCTGGGGCTGTACTTTAACAGACTTCCATCTGTGCAGTTGTTTGACAAAGCCTTACGATATCTGAAGTGAAATGACCAACATAAACACATCTTAATGTTGTGAGAAAGAGTAATATTAGAGAGATTATATCAACTGTTACCCTAAACCTTTGTGAAAAGCTACTTTGTATTCATATAAAAGAGTCTAAGAGAGTGTATCTCAAATGATAAGATGCCAGCTGCTAATACCTACTTAACATAACAATTTCTTAAGAAAATCTTAAATTATCCCTCCATCGGCCAACCACCTGGGTGCTTAGGTTAGAGTATACTTAAATGACAAAAGAAAACAGAAGATAGAAATTCAAACTCAAGCTTGACACCTGCACTCTTCAGTCCCTCAGGCGAACTGTCGTTCCTCAGGAGCTGATATATCCACCTTTGAGGAGATTACTTCAGAAAATATTTCTAAAACACTAAACTATCTACTTAAACTGATATACGTATGCCACTTATACCTTATTGTACAAGAAAGCTGTCTTTTATCAACTAAATGCAGCAAAAATACAACTAAACTCACAGGCATCTGGGATACTCTTCATATGGAGACCATGGTTGAGCTTTACTAAACGGTTACCAGGAAAGCAAGCATTCTTCCTAATTAAATAAGCAGTTGTTTTGCAAACTTAGTATTCATTTACTAAGAAAGCATATAAGCTCAAATCACTGAATAGGGTTTAATTTGTTAAATTCTGTGTGTGTCTATAACTAAAAAATAAAAATATGACAGTACAAATTTAAACAACTGCGGCTTAAGGTTGTTGCTCAGTTCTTTTTTGAGTTTTTTTTTTATTTCATCTAGGAATTTTGGGATATACAGTTGTGTTTATAAGTAGGAAAAGAACAAATTCAAAGATTGTTTATGTAATACTCATGGGTATCAGCCTGCCTAGTAGATGTCTACCAAACTATCAGACTAGTGTAAATGTTATATTTTATAGAATCTTGTATGTGTAGGGAATCTAAATCTAGCCCTGTTGTACACATTATAATTAGACTGATGAGAAATCCAGATCTTGGGATGCAGAGGTAGTAAGGAGGCAGAGCATGCAGCACACAGTTTGGATCCCAACCAAAAAAACCTTTGCTGTATGTCTTATTCCTGACTCTTTGATCTATTTCCTTTCTGCTGTTGATTACTAGTAGAGCCACTAAAACTTCTTAAAAATCCAGATCTTTTTCTAGACCAATACCATACTTAACCTGGACTAATGGGACAAACGCATTGTTGTGTTACAAAACAGCGTTAACTACTTTCTGCTTTCTTTCCAGTACGCACTGCATCACAGAAATTGTAGAGGTGCTAAAAGTTAAACATACCAGAAAAACAAAAAAATTAGATAACCTTTCTAAGCAACTATGTTAACAACCATTTGGAAGCCAAAAGCATTGTATTTTCTTGAGCTTTTCCAGAGCTTCTCACTTTCACTGTTTCCAAATATAAGATGCATCTAAGAACATTTCATCATTCTTTGTCCTTTGTCATGACACTTACATTAATTATTCATTTATAATAAAAAAAAGTCCATTAATGCACCTTCATAGCATGTATTTAATTTTCTGCTTTAAACAAAATAGTTTAACAATTAACTGTTAAATAGCCCAAAGAATTACAATACTTGATAATAGAATAGGCTAGTACTTATTCTAGCCAAGAAGAAGATATTCTGGCACCTTAATCAACTTGTGAACTTAAAAAGCATGTTCCCTGCAGACAATACAGAATTTCAGAATTTTATAAGATTAGTACCACATGAACATTTTTATAGCAAGTATATCTGTTCTACACTTTCCAAAGATATTTTTGTTAATATTACCAACAATAAATGAAAAATAATCTGACACCTTTTAGTTTCTGATATAAGGTTTCCTTTTGTTCCTCCAAAAAATAAAAAAACTTCCTTTTCTGGAATATATCTCTGGTTAGTTAATATGGATTTATGTTGGCATCAAATTTAAAAGATCTTGTCTAATTATGGAGTTGGCACCATTTCAAAAACATATCCTCAGACTTTCCAAAGCTGAATCTTTAAAGCCTGTGCTTTCCGTTTGGTGTCAGCACATGTGAACTTAGCATACCCTGTTGTGTTGAAAAAGCTGTCCCCTGTAATGCAGTCTTGGGTTGATGCTGAAGGAACAAACCAGAAAGCTGAGGTGCAGCTCCCATCGAGTTGCCTCTCAAACCCATAGTCACTGTTTTAAGTAAAAAGAAAAAAAGGCACAGTAAGTAATTTATGAGGCTAATAATAATTTCTTTTAAATTTTAAATGGAAATATTTAGTGAATATGAATAAAAAAACTCCAAAAACTGTAGAATATTACTGGTGTGTGAAAAATTCTTAGACAACATAATGGTGGGTGAGATTGAATGATTTATAAATCACTCAGCAGAGATATTACTGATGGCGTATATAAGATTATAATTATACTCTGTGATCTTACAGATTTTTCAAATTTCTTTCATCATGATGAGGGAATCACATGAAGTTTTAATAGGCATACAGTGTTGCATATTGGTGTCAGACATAGTCATTAAAGAAGCTTAGGAGCTGAATGAAATAGTGTACATGATGCTTCACATTACTTGTTAGACCTAAAGAGAGAAAAAGTAGGTCATCTTCAGTTGAAGCAACTCTTCAGGAAAGTAAATGTCAAATTTTCACATAAAATATTTTCAGACACAAGATCTATCTATCTATCTATCTATCTATCTATCTATCTATCTATCTATCTATCTATCTATCTATCTATCTATCTATCTATCTATCT